TTCACAACCCTTGCCTCTGAACACACTCCCCGAAATGCTTCCAAGGGTAGACTGCTACGCTATCCCATCGCGAAAGCTTGGGGAGACAGCCATTAGAGGCCAACTATGGATATGACCGGTGACGTTTAATGCCCATTCCCCCTATCATCGGAGTCCTGCCACAATAGAAGCCAACTATGGGCATATCCAGTGCTGTTTAATGCCCAATCCTCCTACCATCGAAGTTATCCGAAGGGAGACAGCGGTGCCAGTTTAATGTGCCGCCGAGGTGGGGTGTTGCGATTCGCCGAAGTGCACGATCAGCAACCACCACAGAAGTTCTCTCTGTTTGGTCTGGTGAGTCCGTGATCCTTAAAAATTCCCAGGTTCCTACGAACTTTAGTGACTCTCAGATAGGTGCTAATCATCCTTCCCTTGCTACGGGTCGCTCTGCCAGACCGAATTTTTACCAACTTTGCAACAGTCGTTGCACTAGATTTGTCTACTCCCTGGCGTGCGCTCCATGCAAACGGTGGACAAAGGAAAAAAAAGCGTTTTTAACAGAGACAAGGAAGTTTGGGGGACAAACTGCCAACCCTGTCCCTACGCGTAGTCCTTGCACCGGTATCGTGCCGCCTCATATGATTCTCTCCCCTCTCTGCAGAACTGCAAGGTGGGCGACTACACGAAAAATCACTCCACTGTCTACAAAACTGCACGCATAGCCATGTACTTCCAGGCGTATGAAATATATGTCTGACGGTTCTCGCCACCACCTCAACTACGTCAAATTGCGCCTAATCTGTTTCTCTTTCATTGAGTAGACCTGGTCATAGCATCATAGCGGGGAAACCAGACAGGAGAGGAAATGGTGATGAAAGACATCTACAGAGAGACAAGGAAGCGAACTCCCGGCCGCTTTTGTTGGTGTACTTCCTCCCGTCTTCTAGGAGGGGATACGAGGAGAGCGGCGACGTAACATGTGATCATCCCGACTTAAATAAAAGAACCGCAACCTGTCCAATGTAAAAGTAAATGAAATTGTGAGTCTCATGAGTCACGTAGGAGCCGAAGTTCCGTCCCACAACGCAATGCCACGTAGGATTGTGCTTCCTGTCGAACTCTTTCTTTATGTGCGCCGCTATGTCCTTTTCTACGTTGTATCTCTCGAGTGCTTGGTTGGCGCAATCGATTGCATCTTGCTGCATTTCGTCGGGCATGTCCGCGTTGCGTATGACGAACTTCCTATCCCACATTTTCTAGGATTTCACAGGATCCAGAAGGTTCACTACACCGGGCCCCTCCTAAAGCTCTGTCCAGACACAACACAGTGAAGGCATATTTGACCTAAGCCTTCGTGAAAAACGCGAATTATCCTTGGTACATGGCTCACTGCAAGAGTAGCTTTTAGATGACAAAACATTCACCGGTCACATGCAGCGAGACCATAGACGGCCGTTCTACAAACGTGCATTTCACGAGCTACAAAAAAAAACTTGAACAAATCCAAGTCGCAAATGACCAGAAGAAGCTACATGGTGAAAATCTATCCGTTTAACCATGCCATTCACGCGACATCGCCAGCGGTCTGCACGTTACCGGGCTAAGTTAGGGGCGCATAAAACTCCAATTTATACCGAGAGCGAAACTACTTATACACTAAGCAGACAAGCAGAATCATGAAAAGACACTCTGAGACCGCATATTGAAAGCCACGTAACGAACTACCACGACAAGCTTGGAATAGAACTTCAGAAGGGTTCCACTCAGGCGGGTAAACGGAAGGAAGCCTGCCAGTATCTTGATAAATGAGACTTACCTATAAACTCAAATTTCTGGTATATGGCACATCAAAAGCCTTGAAGAGAATGCTTCAACTTATTCCTTCGCTGCACTTCGACACTCTGGGGGCCAGCAGTCACTGTGAGTCGGTATGATGGGCAGCAAATTGATGCTCTGCCGTGCTTAACCTGCACTTCTATTTATGCACACAGAGAATAAACATTCAATCAATCAAAAACTACGTTCTGGAAGCGCTTTGCGAAGGCGAGCTCTTGGGTGCTCCTCGGTGCGCGTAGCGGCCTGGTGGGACTGAGCAGTTCAGTATGTTAGCAGCTACCAGTGAAGTCGGCAAGAAAGTAAAGATTGAATATCATGGCAGATTAACTTTAGCCATCTCATTGTTTGGCCAGATCATAATCTGTGATCTGGACACGACTTAAAGCTCAGGTTGTCGGCTTCATCTGATGTGCCTGCCGAACTGCACTACAATGATATAGGATGCCTTGAGAAACTGGGTGTCGTGAATATTATTCTCTGAGCACGCACCACCTCTATGGCGAAATTGTGAGTGAGAAGGTAGACGTATAGATGGTTGCGTGTAGGATCCGGTTCGATGCGTTGCATTTATCTTTCAGGAGGACCAGGTGGTATATGTGGCTGGGCAATTCAGTAGACTTCATAGCGCATGGCATCCGTAGATAGGGTTGCTGGCTTATTACTTAGTCGCCAACAGTACACATGTATTGCTCTGGCAGCGTATGCAGCTAATAATGCCTTTACGGGGCCGTTATAAACGGAACGGGGGATCTCCAAAGTTTACCAGAGTAGCATAGCGTTAGCACTCAACTTTCCGACTTGATCGCGGTTTTTCGTTGTATTTCCTATGCCTTCGTACAGTGTCTTTTTTTAGTTTTCTTTGCAGCGTAAATGTTTCCTCTCGGGGGTCCCAGAATTCCTCATCGCGATACAGTAGGCTACAGGCATCATAACGCTCCTTCTAGTCAAAGTAGTAGCTCTACAATATTCCAAATTTTCCGGAAAACACCAGGCGTGTTTTGGGGAGAAGGTTTCACGAACTGGTCGTCCAACCTCCCTAGGTCCTGTGTAGCGTGCTCTCCAATGTGGCCGGCAGGGATCAAAGTAATAAGGCTGTATCTGTTGGCGTAACGGCAACTCTAGCTCAAATTTAGTACTAAATCCTCTTACCTAGTGAATGTAGCCCCTAAATACCGGTGAAATACACGCACTTGGTGTCTGCTGCTCCTTACAACTTTTACTAGTGAGCTGTCGGTTACCCTCTGGCTTTTGAAGGAGCTGTCGAAGCCCATCATGTTCTGTCGGCATCTCCTACGCAACATCTTTTAACCAACACGTGAGAAAAGACACTATCTTGACTACTGTCAAGGGCAACAAACCACACTGTAACCATTGGATGCACAACACTGACAAAAGGCGGGAAACTGTCCTCTATGAGGGTAAGCAGCGCGCGGGTTTCGTCTTTCCTTAACCGCATCATGTCTCTCTTAGTAGCCCACCTGTATATAATGCCCTCTGGCATGTTGAAAATATCATCCAGACGAATCGAATCTACCGTTGGCAGCAACTTCAGGTCTCTTGGGGCCACCAAACTCTATCAGGTGGTGCTACTTCTGAATGCGTATATAAAGTTTTGAATGCAAAAACCAAACAGCTTTTCCAGACTTTGATGTTAGAAAAAAGCTCTACTCGGCTTCAAGATTTTCTCGTATCGCCTATCCAGTTAAGGAATAGGTGCAGCATCTTCCCTACTTTCGAACGGCATCCTTCGTACCAGTGTACAGAGCTCCGTGTGGTATATGTTTAACACTTGGCTCAAATTTTCGTAAAGAATAAATTTACAGTTCAGAACTGCTGCAAAAGTTTGTTTCTCCCACTGCGTCTTACCCTCGAAAGAGGCACGTGCAAGCAAGGGTTATTGCAACGAATAAACCTTGACCCAAGTGCTGATACTTGAAAAGACTTCAAAATATATCTGCGTTCATGAAGAACACAATACATAATATTAGTAGTGCAGATGTACCTTTCAGCATATGCATTCTAGCGTTCGCTGCTACTCTGCTTGCATCCCCATATGACAAGCTTGAGCGGGTCTCTTGGCTTCTTATTGGCTCTGGGCACTATAACACCACCTATCACGAAGTAATTTGCTACCCAGAGCTAATTAATATTTTTAAGGAGCGTTTCTAAGTTATGTCATTGTCACATTAACCAAGTTCCGCTAAGCATGACCCGGTACACTGCGCTCTCAACAGAGTCTACGTTGCTGCACAACCCTGAACTCTGTTATCCAATGAAATCTTCTCTATTACCGGCACATCTATCGCGTAGCGTCTACCAATTTATGAGAAAAACTATTTTGTTTCAAGTTCTCAAAAGCATATTTCTTATATGAGTCGTTTTTTATCGTTCTTGCATTTGTGGTCCGGTGGGGATATGTGGTGCCAGGCACTACAATTGACCTTCGTCGCCACCCCTCGAGGCTTAGTAACGCGAAAGGGCATGAATAATATAGAATATTTTAAGGCATAAGGCACCACTGGATATTAGGAAATCATAAAAGGGAATAGAGTGCTCGCTAGCCAGCACCGGGTATGGGGCTGGATGCGAGGTTGGTGCCGTGACTCAGGCACTGACCCTCAGCGAGGGTCAACAGTCAGTTCTATTATTTTGGGTTTTTGTCACCTCTCAATAATATGAACTCAGTTGTATATGGCCATTTAGGGTATACAGCAGTACTTGGCGAGAATCATGGATTTTAGATAGTAGATGCAGAGTGTGCACTTAGACTAGCCCAGGGACCATACGTAGTAACAGTGTAGGCCAGCTGTTCACTACATTTGGGGGCTGTTCCGGAAAATACAATTAACATAAATTGGGGAAATTATCGAGCTTGCTTTAAAGGGGAAGATCCTTTCCTTCTTTCTCGCAAAATCCGAAGTGACCTCCGCACCTAAGTGAAAAGGGGGATGGACATGCACCTACGCAACGGAAAAGTGGTACAACCTCCACCAGAACCGAACGCAGGAATGCCGAATACAGTCGTATAAAGTAAAGAAACCGCGGGGCACCCTATTGAGTCGAAACGAACAGAACCCAGTCGCGACATCGGCCAGCCCATCGCAGGGGTCGGCCGACCGATACCGAGAAATCGGGACCGCGACGTTGGAGGACGCAAGGAACCCAAAATGAATCAAGCTAGGATGGAACCGGGAATGGCCGAGTTCTTTCGGCAATTCGCCTCTCAGATGGCACTGGGGTTAGTGCATACGTCCCAGAGGTCCGTTGGGTACGAGGACGGCAAGAACATGAGGAATTTCCTTGACCTTGTGGAGTTAGATTTCATTGAACGAGGGCTGGAAGAGCGGCAGTGGGGAGAAGAACTCAAAAGATATCTGACGGGCGACGCCTTGGGTTACTGGTTGTATCTGTGTCGCACGGGAGTACCCCTGACTGATTGGGAGCAACTGAGACAGCGATTCTGTGCGCAATTCTGTAACATGACAAAGGAACGGATGAAAGTCATGATAGCGGAGAATGTATGGCGGGGTGATCACCACGCATACTCTGCGCGTTTTGCGACTATCGTGGCCCAAGGGGTATCCATAGCACCAGACCTGTTGGTGGGTTACTATTTGGCCAACCTGCCGGTAGAAATATACCGAGAGATAACTCAAGGGGGAACAAGGAAATTCGCGGACTGGCAGGAAGCAGCCGCAGCACTGGCTACCACGGCGGCACCGTGGAGGGATTCATGAGAAGACCGCCTCCAATTCCAGCAGGACTTAGAGGATGCCAAGCGTAGATGGGCTAACGGGGGGCAAGAGCCGGGTCTACAACGCGAACGAGAGAGCAGGGGAAACAGACGGAATGACACTACGGACTCACGCTGTTACGCGTGCGGCGGAAGGGGACATGTGAGCAGGGACTGTCCGCTCCGCAATGGAGCGACGCGACGGATTGGGGAAACGTGCTCCAGGTGTGGGGGCCGGGATCACTACGCTAGAGACTGTCCCACGTCGGCTCGACCCAGAGCAGAGCCCGTCAGGCAGCGCAGACAGCAGCCAATGCAGCCCAACGTTGACCAATCGGGGCATTTAAACGGACGAACCTAGCCGTTAAGGGAGACGAGCGTGCTAGGCGGTCTAGGAATGGTAAGGGTGCGATGTGCGCAGTAGCGTCAGGGCCTAACTCCATTCCAGTCTCCCCAGATTGGGGCAAGAGGTTGCTTAGTCGGGAGGAGCAGGAGCGTGCCGAGGGTCCGGACATGGGGGAGATCCAGCAACCCTCGGCAGACCAGTCCCACGCCGGGACTACGTTGCTAATTGAGGAAGGGTCTAGGCGTAAACGGGACCACAGGGGCGAGCTAAACGACGCCGCAACTGAAGGGGACCGTACGCAGGACATGAGCACTAAAGAACCACAGTGGTGGCGCGAGCAGAGGACGCAGGAAAACACCACTTCCAAGGGGACTCTGTAGTGTGGGTATGACCGCCGTATTAAGAGTCGAAGTGACCGGCAGCCAGTGCGAAGCTCTTCTAGATACGGGCGCCTCTAGGAGCTTCATTAGCCCAGGGGCGGTAGAACGCCTACAGCTGAAAGCGGGAAGCTG